GAGGGCAATGGTAAACTGCAAAGCCTGTGTGTACGTGTAGGCAGGGGGAGGGGGCTATCACTGCAGGGAGAGGGGTAGGGTTGGTTTCCTCATTATGCTCTGACTGAAGGAGTAAACAGTGCACTAATTAAATTAACAGCTGACACAGAATTATTAGGCCTGCAAACACCAGCAAAGCGAGAACAGAACAATCATCACACAATGCAACAACAGAGCTACTGCAAACACCACAAGACTCAGATCTGGTCTGCCTACAGACCCACAACACAGGCCTTGTGTTGGCAGATCCTTGTGTGTACCTACATGCTAAACTGAATCCTGCCATTAAATACCCAGGTGTTTGCGAATCCAGTTAAGCCACATTTCAGTGGTGCAAGTCCTGGCAGACAGAGTTCCACTGGCACAAAAGCAGTATGGGTAATGCATTACCTGCTCTAACTTAAACTGGCCCCAGCAATGATCCCACAGTGCGCTTGTCCACACAATGCTGACTGCACCCATTGCAGTTGTACCATTGCTGATCACAGTAAGCAGGAGCACCCAGCACATGGAAGGGATACCCAGTTCCTTGCTATCCCACCTCAGCAAGCACAGACTTGGCTCCCTGCAGCCAAAGCTGGTGCTGCAGGGTGGCCTAGTTTCCCTCGGCCTGTGAGGACAAAGGATGGTGGAAGCCCAGTGGCAAAGTCCCTTTGTGAATAAAGATGTTTGCACAGTGCAGAGGGGATGCAAAGGTGATGTGAGCAGTGATGCCAGATGTGGAAGGAGGAAGAGATGCAGCAGTTCTCCCAACAAGCAGAGGCAACCAAATGAAAACCTACTGGGGTTGCCCCAAGCACCTTGATGCTATCCTGGATGGGCACCCTTCCTACCAGCCTGCAAGTCAGACCGGCCACTTCCTAATGGCGAAGGGAAGGAACCCGGGGGGGTGACGTGGGGAGCTCCTGCCTGAAGCCAGTCTGACCCACTTCACGTTTTTATCAAGAACTCCATGGTCACCCTGCTCCCTTCCCCTACGCTAGCCTTTACCTCTGTGGCACCAACTGAAAGGCCACACGTGCAATCAGTGTTAACCAAAGAGTGACAATACATGTCAACAGAGGTTGCATTTCTCCTGAGAGAGCCCCTTTTGTGTCAGGATCCTGCCTGTGAAGTAGCTGAAAAAAAAATGTGCTAACATTTTTTCCCGGGGGGGGGGGGG